GTGTGTGTGTGTGTGTGTGTGTGTGTGTGTGTGTGTGTGTGTGGACATATTTAGAAGAAACTTAGAAGACAGCTCTTGTCGGCCAAATCAGGAACAGAAAGACTTTTAATAAATGAAACAATACTAATAAATAAAGATTAACCAGGTTTCACATTCAGTAAAATCCAACAAAATTATTTTTTTAAAAAGAGAGAAAATGTTATTAAAAAGAAAACAAACACTGTTGAGACATTTACAAATTTTTCTTAAAAACTTCAAGAGGCAAAACAGACATTGTATAAAAGCATCGTACAGTAGAGCATTTTACAAATTTATTGAAGGATAAATACTTTCTGACTGAGATACACATGTGAAGACTCTTAACCATGCCTCTCAGGTGAGATTACTATGTTTTTTTTTTTTTTTTTTTTTTTTTTTTTTGTAATGATCAGAAATAACAGTGATGAAGTAATGATGAAAGCGTCCATCAGTTTATGGGAAACTGACAAATTATATTTGTAAATAACTTTTAAATGGCATCATCCATTGGTGTGTGTTGGTGCAGAAATAAAATCAAGAGCATCTCTTCTGGCGAATATGGCTACATCAGGCGTTGTTTTTTTTAATACTTATCCAAAAGAACACTGCAGCTGTCCGTCCAAACACATGTGGGGGGACTTTGTCAGTAGGGAGCAAACTTCTGTCTCTCTGGCTTTTTGATGCAGTTTGCTGAGGAGATTTTGGCAGTGTAAGCAGCCAAGTTGGTGTGGGAGGTCGCTGCGGTGGCGGCCACGGTGGGTGCCGGGTTGGACAGAGTCAGAAAGGGAACGGATTTCACCCCCAGCAGCCCAGAGAGCGGCATGGCACCGTACGGAGTGCCGAGCATGTGAGCGGGGGCCAGCGTGCCCACGGTGGCCAGGGTGGGGGCGGGCGAGGCGGCCGGGGAGGTGGACTGGGTGAAGGCCATGTTGAGGTTGACCGGAGAGGCCATGGTGGCTGCCTGGGCCGTGGATTTTGCTGTTTCTAAACTGTGAGGGCAAATAAATAAAAGAGTATTTGAAGTTTCAGGAAAAGGAATACATTCCAGCCATTTTTAAATTCAGTTTACTTCATTTTCTGTTGGGAGAATGACTGCAGATATAAAGAAGAGGCCGAGAGAGGTTTGATTAAACTACTGAAGGAATGTTGCCCAAGTCTGCTGGGCTGAAAGCTACAAATCTACAAGGAATAAACAAAGATGGAGAAATAAACAGTGCAGTCATCTATCTGTGTCCTCATTTGTTTTTTAGATAAGTAATTTTCTTAAAAAAAAAACAGAGGAAATATTTATATTGAAGTGCCTGTGACATGCACGTCCTTCAAATGCAAAAAAACAAAGAAAACATGCTTATATTTAAGAAACATGACATAGAACACATGATTTTACCCATTTTGTCACATTGAAGGAAATTTTGTAACTGATTAATTGAATATTCGATTCAGTATTTTCTTTTATACTTTCTGATCATTTCAGTCTGTAAGGTTAAAGCTGACACAAAGTTGGTGTGTGTCTTATCATGTGTTCTTTCTTTAGTCTAAACAAAATGAGTGACGTTCTGACATCTGACTTAAAAGGTAACACCTCCTGGGGTGTAACCAGGAAGAAAGATACATTATAAGTTGAATTCATTTTTATAGTAGAAAGGAAGTTGTGTGTGGATTGCAGAGTGTCTGMTCAGAGCAGAGCTCTTGTCTGTTTGTTGGGATTCAGCCCAAGGTCTGACTGAGGCCTGTGCTGCCGAGTGCTGTAGTGTACTTAAATTTTTTAAGAAGAAATCCAGTTGGATTCCTGTTTATTCGGACATACCATTTTGAACAACACATATTTTTCCAACAACATAACTGCCATGTTTCTTTTGAACTTGGCTCATCCAAAATGAAACAGGAAGTGACATCAAAGTGGAACTCTTGAAAAAGAAAACTCCCTGGTTTTTATCAAAACTATGCTATTTGACCTCTAACAATTTCTCTCTGATAGTGATTCAAAATAATCTAAAGAAACATCAGACTCATCTCCACTGTCTGTGCTGTTGGCCACTGTAGATCTGTTCACATGAAGGCATTCGCCTTTGACATCACTTTCTGTTTCTTCACGTGCAAATATTTCAAGAACTGTTCATCTCAGTGGTGTGAATTTTTTTAAAGCAATATGTTGTCAATGTTATCTTTCCAAAAATGCATATGTATTTCAAAAATTTGATGTGACAGGCACTTTAAGGAAGCCCTGAAAATAAATACTCAAATTATTTATCATAATAGAACATTAAAACATACTTTCTCTGACTTTTTGGTTTGTTTCATCCATGATTTTTATCAACAAAATTTTCGAGTCAGCTAACTAGGCTTTAAAGTGTGCTGCCTGTTCTGTAAATTTATTATGCTTGTATGATGTTTTTCATTGTATTGCAAAAAAATTTTAATGCAAAAAAATAAATCTATACCTTTAAGAAGAATTCCTATACATCTATCAAATGTCMGTCAGTGAAAGTGTGACCTTTGACCTTTGTGAGCAGATGTGTCTCTCGCTGTGAGGCTGCAGGTGTGACCGGGTCTTACCAGGAGGTAATGAGGTACTGGGCCAGGTTGATGCTGACTGGTGTTCCTGTAATCGTGACATGGCGGTCGCTCGTCCCGTCCAGCTGGCTGCCAATTTTGATCTGAGCTCCTGACACCTGCCGGATCTCATTGATCTTGGTTCCCTGACGGCCGATGATGGAGCCAATCAGCTGCGGAAGAGCAGAGGCCAGTGAGTTGGATGGAAAAAAAAGTATAACTAAATAAACACACTTTTTTCTTGTTCTTTTTTTTACAATCATAATCAAAGCTCTCTCACTGAGATTTTTGTGCTGATGAAATAGAACGAAAGTTTAAAAAAAATCTGCACTGCCGTTTAGCTGACCTAATGCACACCACTTCAAATATTGCAATTACGTTGCTTGTCTTCCCTGGTTTGGCCATCCATCATCCGCGTCAAGAGCACTTTTTTACCCCCTCGAGTCTCCCTTTAATTGCTACTGTGTATGTAAAAGAGACGGGCAAAGGCACATTTGGCTCTCATTAATCTGAGTGGCTAAAAGGTTATTGATTCCTCAGAGTGGTGACGACTTCCCAAACAAATCACTTCCCAAACAAATGGCAGATAGATGCAGCTCTGTGCTAATGGAAAACATAATGGGAAAATAACTCTGATACATAATGTGCATTCCCACTGGTGTGAGCGCTCTCTCTTCTGAGAGCAGATAAGACAGTGACGGGACTTTTATTGCGATCCAACGTTCATCGTTGCTTTGGTTTTGCTTTAGTTGCCCAACCTGGACCCCTGCCTACGGAGTGACAATGGATATTTAGCAGAAGCAGAACTCACAGCCACATATCAACTCAAGTGCACGGAGTCAAGGGCTCGAGTGACAGGGTTACGCTGCCAAATATATAGCAAGCACTCCAGACAGAGATTGAGTGCTCCAGGTATGTGAGAATGCTGCACGTTTAACAGAGTCAAACGTACAGCAAGGCGTAACACACACACACAAACACACACACACAACAACACAACAGAGTTTATCCAGGGCTTGCCTTTTCTGCATTCTAGATTCCTGTTTTGAGAAGTAAGCAGCCCAGTTCACAATGTTTGATTCGTCACGGCGGCCTGCTTGGTCTGCCTGGGTATTAYTGGCTGAGCAGTTTATTTAAGGCAGGAGACACCGAGAGGGAGCAGCCAGCCTAAAGAGCAACTCTTAGAGACAATGGTCATTACAGACCTCATATCGCGACTGAAACCTCTCCCCAGCTGAGAGCAAAAATCTCCTGTCTCTGTATCAGCTGTCAGCAGCTCGTCCACTTCAGAGCGTGAGCTCAGATTGTTGTCATTTCTGTACAGCCTTAAAAGTCTAAAAACGCTGAGTGAGATTCAGCGAAACAAGACATAGGAGGGATTTTGACGGAGTTGTTGTTTTCGAATGTTTTTATCAGCATCCTCCGCTCCGTGTCCCCAGTCCGGAGCTACATGTGGCTCAGATTCAGTATTGATGAGTTCCTGCTGAGACAAGTCGTTTGAGAGGGAAGCAGGAAGAGGGATGGGACGGTGAGGGGTGCAGCCATTTTTCTTCCTGCTCCACAGCTTCCGTCCTTCGCAGAGCAGTGCTGACTGGGTTGGAAGCGTTTTATTTATTTTTTTTTTTTTTCAGAAAGCATCTGCGCGCCACATATAAGCCTCCTTTGGGGGGTTCGGTGCAAAGAAGCACAGAGTGGGCTTGTGTGGCTGCAGTGATTYGGGCAGGGGAGGGAGGGAGGGGCTGGCAGAGATGAGGACAGAGGCCCGAAGTGGCTCAGTCACGGCTGTAAGTCCTCTCTTCTGGAACAATGGCTGGAGTTTGCAGCTGTCCCTGTCACGTACAGCTCTGGACTGTCTCATTCCTCTGAAACATTGTGCTGCCGGCCCTGTGGGGGTTTACTCTGGGCCGGGGTGTGTATGTG